ATGATCTATGTCTCTCTCTCATCGATTTTTCTAACTCTCTATCTCTCTCCCTTCCTCTCTGTAAAAAGTTAATAAAATATATTAAAAAAAAAAAAAGATTTCATCTGGATCCGGGGAGGCCTCCCCAACAGAGGGGTCAGGCCTCCAGCGCCAGATTCTCCCGTGGAAATATATCAACGTGGGGTCCCTGGGGGACAGATTCCACTCGTCAGCCAGGAGCTGATGTGGCACTTGGGAGAAGCTGTGGGCCAGAGGACACCACCCTCTGGGTATTTTTTGAGAGGTCCGGATCCAGCCTATAGGTGAACTGACCTTTGCTTTGACTTTTGTAAAACCAGTCTGTTGAGCATCTCTCCGAGGGCAGTGAGCCCCACAATGTCACCGCACAGCCGAGAGAATTCCAGTGAGCCCACTGGGCATGCCCCTCCTTAGCTGTTCCGCAGGCTCTGCAGTTCCTGCTGCCTTGGGCAGGAGGCCCGGAGAGGAAGAAAGCTGAGGGCTTGGCCTATAATCTCCCCTCTTGACCTAGTGTTTACACAGCAGAGTAGAAAGTGCTAGAAATGCCCTCCCACACACACACTTTTACTTTGACAAAATGACATTATAACACGTGTGTATATGTTTTAAAAGTATTACACAGGGCCCTGGCTGGTGTGGCTCAGTTGTTTGGGCGTCATCCCTTGTACCAAAGGTCACGGTTTCGCTTCCTGGTCAGGGCACTTACCAAGGTTGTGAGTTCAATCCCCAGCTGGGGTGCATGCAGGAGGCAACCAGTGGATATTTCTCTCTCACACTGTTTCTCTCTCTCCCTTTCCCTTCTCTCTCTCTCTCTCATCTCAAATAAATAGATAAATAAACAAATAAATAGATAAATAAATAAATACTAATTAGTTTTTTTTTTTTTAATATTACATAGTGCCCTAACCAAAATAGATAAATAAACAAATAAATAGATAAATAAGTAAATACTAGTGTTTTTTTTTTTTAATATTACATAGTGACCTAGCCAGTTTGGCTCAGTGGATAGAGCATCAGCCTGCGGACCAGCTTTGATTCCTGTCAAGGGCACGTGCCCGGGTTTGAAGCTCAATCCTCAGTAGGGGGCATGCAGGAGGCAGCTGATCAATGATTCTCTCATCATTTTTGCTTCTATCTCTCTCTCCCTCTCCCTTCCTGAAATCAATTTAAAAAATATTACATAGCTTTGTAAGCGTACATATATGTATACTTACGTTAACAATGTTATCATTAACCATGTGTTATTTTTTTTCAGACCTGCCTTTTTAAAGGCTGCAGAAAACTTCACCCTTTTGGTTAAGAACAACATCTGGTATCCAAAATTTAACTTCACCAAGTAAGTGGTGGCTGACTGTGTGAGTTCACCAGTGTTTAGGAGAGACCTTTTTTTTTTTGAGATTTTCCTCGCTTCTATTTTCTGCCTCCTCCCAACTTTAGGAGAAACATCCTCCCCAACATCACCACTACCTACCTCAAGTCGTGCATTTACAATGCCGCAACAGATCCGTTCTGCCCCATCTTCCGTCTTGGCAAAATAGTGGAGAATGCAGGGCACAGCTTCCAGGACATGGCTATTGAGGTAGGCATGGGCCCTGGCTTTGCTGGCAGTCTCCGACATGTCTCATTCAAAACAGGCTCTAAGGAAAGTACGCTTTGTCTCTGCTCGCAACCCACAGGGCGGCATCATGGGGATCCAGATCAAATGGGACTGCAACCTGGACAGGGCTGCCTCCTTCTGCCTGCCCAGGTACTCCTTCCGCCGCCTGGACACTCGGGACCAGGACCACAATGTGTCCCCCGGTAACAATTTCAGGTGGGCGTGGGCGTGGGCGTGGGCATGGGCTTGGGCTGATGGGTGGGTATGTGTAGCAGGTGATGGTGACTGGATCACTCCCCAGTGGGGGCATCCACACCCACCTAGACTAGCACTCAGGCAGCCACCATGGGCAGATGGGAGCCGTGTGCCAGGAAGAATGCTTGGAGAGAGGCCGTGCGCCTGTGGCATCCTGGCCTGTGAGAGCCCTCCTTGCCCGCCCTTTCTTGTCTCAAGAAACATATTGAGCCTGACCTGCATGGCTCAGTGGTTGAGCATCAACCTATGAACTGGAATGTCATGGTTCAATTCCCGGTTAGGGCTTGACCCCCAGTGTGGGGTGGGCAGGAGGCAGCCAATCAATCAGGAGGCACCCAATCAATGATACTCATCGTTGATGTTTCTATCTCCTTCTCCCTCAATAAAAAAATAAAAGAAATTTACAGAATCTCACAGTTCTGAAGGGCAGAGCCCCACATCCTGGTGTCAGCGAGGCCAGGCTCCTTTCTTGCCTCTTCCAGCTTCCGGTGGCTCCCGACAATCCTTGGTGTCCCTTGGCTGGTAGACACGTCACTCCAGTCTCTGCCTTCTCCCCTCTGGGTCTCTGTCTGTGTGTCCCCTCCTCTTCTTAGAAAGACACCAGTCGTATTAGATTCAGGGCCTGCCTTAACTCAGTGTGTCCTCATCTTAGGGGCCAGGGTCCCGTTTGCCACTTTCCTGTAGCCACATACGTTTGCACCTGCCCTTTGTCGCATCTTGCACACAAGTAGCCACTATCAAAAACAGGCCCCAGGCCTTGGCTGGCTTGGTACAGTGGATAGAGCGTCGGCCTGTGGACTGAAGGGTCAAGGGCACATGCCTGGGTTGCGGGCTCGATCCCCAGTATGGGGCGTGCAGGAGGCAGGTGATCAATGATTCTCTCTCATCATTGATATTTCTTTCTCTCTCCCTCTCCCTTCCTCTCTGAAATTTAAAAAAAAAAAGGTCCCAGGAGGGGCCACCTGAGTAGGTCAGTGGTGCTTTTTGTGTTGCATTTGTCTCCCTCTAGTGGTGACATGGGGAATCAAATGCACATGTGATCTGCAGTCCTTTTGAACCATCTGGCTCACAGATAGAAAGGCAGATGTTTGAATCTTTTCCTAAGCAAGGAGTTCGAACTGTGCTGCTCTGTCTCTACCCTCACACAGTTCTTGTAGAAACCACTGGACTGGAACTCCAAAACAGAGAGAAGCCAATGGGACCCTCTCCAGGACAGCCCTCCCCCGACTCCTGCCAGCATCAGGCCCTGCCCAAGTCCCAGGCCTGGGCCATGGCACAGGGACAGATCACGAGCCAAGAGTTTAGGTTCTGGGATTCCCTGAATAAAACAGGCAGCACATGGTATCACGTCTCAGTGGTTCTCCCTCAGCCATTTCCTTGTGTGTGTGTGTGTGTGTGTGTGTGTGTGTGTGTGTTTTAAGGCTTTGAGACAGTTCACATACCACAGTTCACCCATTTGAGGTATAGAATTCTGTTTTCAGTACATTCACCGAGTTGTGCACCTACCACCACAGTCAGTTTTAGAACATTTCCATCACCCGTACTCTTTAGCTTTCACCTCTCTGTCCCCCTCACCCCAGCCCCTGGCAACCTCTCATCTACTTTCTGTTTCAGCATTTGCCTATCCTGGACTGTCATATGAATGGAGTCGTACAGCATGTGGCCCTCTCTGTCTGGTTTCTTTCACTCAGCATCATGTTTCTTTAGAGATTTATCCATGCTGTAGCATTTATTAGCACTTCATCTCTTTTTATAGCCAAATGACATTCCGTTGTGTGGATAGACCACATTTATCCATTTATCCGTTGATGGAGCAATGGTTCTTTAAAAAAAAAAAAAAAAAAAAGTCCAGTGCTGATGCTGGGAGATACCAGCCTCACAGTCTTGGAGGATGCTGATGGCCGGCGACATCCCTTCGTGACCAGGGTCTCCTTGAGAGGCAGGTGGCTCTGCTGCCAGGAGGGAAGGACATTCAGAGCTAGAGGTTCCGGTTGAAGACATAGGAGGCCGCCGTGTTAGGAGAGCGGGAAGCTTTGTCACCAAGCCAGTCCTCCTGCTGTGTGGCCCACCCACACAGGAGCCGGGAGAGGCCCCGAGGTGCTCATCAGGCAGAGCCAGCCTTTGGCCGGTGCCAATGCTGCAAGGCCTCAGGGAGGGGGCGGGGAGGATTCTGCTGTCACATCACTGGCCCAGGACCCAGAGGGCAGATCCGGCCACGGTTTCCCACTGCTATGCCTTCCCCTCACCTGTTTCCCTCCCCAGGTTTGCCAAGTACTACAACGACCTCACTGGCACGGAGCACCGCACACTCATCAAGGCCTACGGCATCCGCTTCGACATCATCGTGTTCGGAAAGGTAGCCTGGCTGCCAGCTCCTCACCCAGACCCTGCCAGTCCCTCTTCTGGGTGGGCCAGGGGCGAGGTGTCCTCTCCCCACTCTTTACCTGCCCTTTATCCACCCCTATCACAACCCTTTTTTCCCCCCGTCCTTTGCAGGCTGGGAAATTTGACATCATCCCAACCATGATCAACATTGGCTCTGGCTTGGCGCTCTTCGGGGTGGTGAGCGACCTAGACTCTGTTCACCCCTGGGCTGGGGCCCTCTGCAGTGGTTAGCACAGCAGGCAGGCCCCTCAGCTGAAGGCCTGGCCTTCCCTTCCACCCTCTGGGCTTCTTTCCCGCCCCCACCCCCACTTCCCCTTCCGGAGGACTGCACCCCTCAGGGCCTGGCCTTCTCCACCTAGGTGGAGGAGAATTTCTTTTCCTTGGAAGATCCCAGGCGCCGAGAAACAGGGACTAACACACCCTGGCTCGTTCTTTCAGGCCACAGTGCTGTGTGACGTCATAGTCCTCTACTGCATGAAGAAAAGATACTACTACCGGGAGAAGAAGTACAAATACGTGGAAGAGTACGAGCAGGTAGACCACCCCCCGAACTTATCTCACTCGCCTCCGGCACCAGTGGTGACAACACTGAGCGCTGGGCCTGACACCCCCGGCAGTCCCACGCCACCCGTGGCACCTGCTCCAGCTCTAGAACACCGGCCCTAGTCCTTACTTCACATGGACCCACTCTTTAAAATCTAGCCTGACCGGTGTGGCTCAGTGGTTGAGCATCAACCTGTGAACTGGGAGGTCACAGTTCGATTTCTGGTCAGGGCACATGCCCGGGTTGCGGGTTCCATTCCCAGTCATGTGGGAGGCAGCCAATCGATGATTCTCTCTCATCATTGATGTTTCTCTCTCTCTCTCTCCCTTCCTCTCTGAAATCAATAAAAAAAAATTAAAAACATTTTTAAAAATAAAATTTAGCCTTCTTTTAATGGGTGACATCTCTGGTGAGTTATGATAACATATTACAACAGAACTGCCTTGCATAGCAAAAGGGGTTGGGAACCATGCTCTGCAGCCACTGCACTAGGACCAACTTGAGTGCGTGCAGCTATGAAGGGCTGTCCCAAGTCCTCGGTAAAAGCACCTGGCCATCGCCACCCAGAATGCTCCAGGCTTGCCTGCGGGCAGCAGCACTGGATGAGTGTATGTTTATCCATAAGCATATCAATTAATGGCAAATATGTCATTTTTTGCAGGGTATCAACAATGAGATGGACCAGTAATGTCTACCCCACATCTGGGCTCCCCACGGCACTCATCAAAGCAAAGGAGTAATCAAAGAGAAGGGAGAAAAGGCTTCCATGGCACCCCAGGGAAAGTCCGAGATTCTGAGTCAGTTTCCACTCCACAAGTCCTTCAGGGTTGCCCAGCTGCTCCCGTTTTGTGTTGCAAGATGTGCATCGTTAACCACCCTGTTCTTGGCTGGGTCACCTTTGCTGACCCTTCAACTCGGGATCCTTTGGGTGAGCTGTGGCCCCAGAGCAGTGATGCTGCTGTAGCCACAGGGCTGGGGCCTTCTCCAGAGCGGGCTCTCTCCAGCTCTCCTGGGGCGCCCCCTGCAGGGCAGGTCCAGCGGTGCAGGTGCAAGGACACGTGGCATGCACACCTGCTCTCCCCCTGCCAGACTTTGTCGGTGTAATCATGAGGCGGAGTTAGTGTTTCTCTTTTGAGAAGAGGTATGTTGAGATGACTGAGGATCAAACATTAAAACAAATGATTTTCTTAATCTCCATCTGCGTGGTTTCCTAGCACGCGCTAAAACGTTCTTCTTTCCACCCCTAGTAAATCCGTTTGTTGTCCCAGCCCATTGTGCTCAGTCTGTTGCTGGAGCCTGGGTACTTTTTCCCTACTTCAGCTTTCTCTTAAAGGCCCAAGGATTTTGATCTTCATCAGGCTGTGTTCTTGCAGAGTTTACAAGATTTCTTTTCTCTAGGGACAGCTCGCCTCACCCGTGGTTACAATTTCCCTAATATGACAGCACTATATACACTCTAGGGGGCACATTTTTAGGCAACATGACAACGGCTTCTCTTCCCCTGACCCCATTTGCTTTCCAGAAGCTTCTAACCAGAAGCAGCACCACCTCCACCTCCGTTGCCACTAGTGTGAAATGTTAATGAAGCTATTTCTAGTTTAGCCTTCACACTGACTTCATTCTGCACCAGGTGTTCAAGGTCTCCCTAAAGAAAACATTTTGCCCTCCCCCTCGTCATGCATTCATTTCCGAGCACTGAAGGAACAGCTTATTTTTAAAGGGCTCTGCTTCTGGTGGGCAAATGACCAACTTGGGCTGTTCTTACTTTGGGGGGCGGCGGTAGGTTTATTGTCCCTGGCTGGGGTGGCTCAGTTGGTTGAATGCCATCCAGCGCACATGCCTAGGTTGCAGGCTCGATGCCCAGTAGGGGTATGCAGGAGGCAGCCAATTGATGTTTCTCACTCATTGATGTTTCTCTCTCATCCATGTTTCTCTCTCCCTTCCTTTTTCTCTAAAACCAATAAAAACATTTTTTTTTAAAAAAAGGTTTACTGAACCCCTCTGAAAAAACTCTGGTTCATGCTACCTTTTTTTTGAAAAACGCCCACTTAAACCTACAGCTCAAAGGGAGCTGGAAGTTTTAGGAATGGCTTCGAACCTTGCAGGCTAAGGAGTGATGGTTACTGGAGTGGGGGAGACTCCTTTTGGCCCCCCTCTTTCTAAGACAGAATGCTAAGGCCAGTTGGGGTGACGGCTGGGGGCTGGGGGTGGCATTGCTTATTTCATTTACCAGAGTCACCTTTGGTTCAGCTATGTCCCCACTTGATGGCACTGCCTCTTAGGTAGGGGCCCTTGCATCTGAAATGGGCTTCCGGGAGTCTCTGGAACCCCTAAAACTTCGCAAAGTTATGCAGCTGTGTGCATTCTTTCAGCTTCCATCAGATTCCTTTTAACCACCCCAAGGTGCTAATTGCAAACTGACCAGGCCCATCCGTGCCTAGGTTCTCAGTGTGGGAACACCTGCTTTTGACTCTTAGCGGTCAGTATCGTTGGATTTCTGCAGCGATGGAGCAGGAAGCTTTCAGACTTCATCTGCTGCCTTTGATAACAGAAAACGGAGATGCAAAGCCAAGCAAGCACCCTCAGCCTCTAGTCCAGAGAAACCACTCATTCCAAAACAGTCTCCAGATGGCTGAAACCGGTTTGGCTCAGTGGATAGAGCATCGGCCTGTGGACTGAAAGGTCCCAGGTTCGATTCTGGTCAAGGGCATGTACCTGGGTTGCGGGCACATCCCCAGTGGGAGATGTGCAGGAGGCAGCTGATCGATGTTTCTCTCTCATCGATGTTTCTGACTATCTCTCTCCCTTCGTCTCTGTAAAAAATCAATAAAATATATTTTTAAAAAAACAAAAACAAAAAACAGTCTCCAGACACCATGAAAACTGACAATGGTGGAAATGCTGTAAAACACTGACTTTGCCGACAAGCTCGGGCAAAGGCGATGACCCATAAAATGGGGTTATAATACCTACTGTGTGAAATGTCATGTAGCAGGCCTACCCAGTCGGGCATTTGATGTCTCATTAAAACTAGCTGCTCACCTGTTTGATCTCCACCAGAAAAATCAAACAATTGCCTGCCTGCTGGAGCCGTGTTTCTCAAACTTCAGCATGCAGACCAGCCACCTGGGGATCCTAAGCGAGGCCTGGGAGTCTGCATTCCTAATCCACTTCCCAGTGCAGCTGACACTGCTGGTCTGGGGACCACACTCTGAGCAAGACACCAAGACATGCTTAAATTAGGGATGAGTAACGTAACGCTGGATACATTAGCCTTGACCTGGCATTTGATCTCACGTCGACCTAAGGAAGGAAAACAGAGGTAAGGACAGAGGTCCTAGACTCGGGGGTGCTGACTTAACGACCAACAGAAAAATCCCAAGGAGGCCAGCTTTGCACCATTTTGGCTGTCTTGTTTATTTCAAGTTTACAGAGAAGCTTAAACATCTGTGGAAAAACACCAAAGGCTTATTTTTCTCTCAAGTTCATGTCTTTTTAAGTGATAAATACACAGTATTTAACTTTGTACACCTGATAAAAGGAAAATGCATAGTAGAAAGGATCAGGAATGAAACAGAAGCATCGGGCAGTAAATCAATCACAGGATAGAAAAGTCAGCAGTCCCACGAAACTCGGCCCGTAAAGCTGGAGGGAAGATGGGGACCGACGACCTTGGAACCTTTCCCTAGCACCTTAGAAATAAGTGGAGGTCATGGTTCTTCCCCCCTGGCAACGAACAACTCCCCTTTGGAAGATGGGTGAGAGTGAGAGTGACAGGTCGGACCTATGTGTCTGAATGCACAGGTATTCGCCTCCTTGGTCCAGAAAGGCTTTGAGGACGGGAGCCCTAACTCCAGGAAAGGCCAGACTAGCGGGGAGACAGCCTCTCGGGCCCCCAGTGCCGACAAGGGGCTAGATAAGGCTTTATGGGAGCCACTGGTACGCCAGCGGAATAGAGGGGGAGCCGGGGGTGAACAACAGGGCAGAGGAAAAGATGGCAAAGTTGTGCTTCCTTCAAGGCCCGGATGCAGGCCACAGGTTGCTTACACACCAAAGTGGTCCCACAGATGAGCCAGCAACGGGAGAAACGGACGGGCAGCCTTTTGGCTCACCTGCAACGCTGCTCCTCATAGCTCCCCCTCTCCTGATAGCTGGCTTTTGAAAAACCAATGTTTGTGCTCCAAGGGAGTGGGGTAATTAACACCTTATGGTACAGGCCTCTCTGCTTAGTTTGAAAAAAAAAAAAAAAAAAATTAAAATAATAATAATAATAATAAAGTTATGAACTTGGGCCTCCCCCAACCCACCGCCAAAATAGCTGGGCGCTGCCCGATGGTGGGCATTGCACATGTGAAACCCGTCCCAAGAGTGTCGTGGGGGCGATGGCGTTGCCCGACGCGGCTGTGTAAACACAGGAGTTCTGCAGAAGTTCTGCGCGCTGCCCGCCCTCCCCAGGACGAGCCACCCGCCAGGCCAGAGTTCACACAAACAAGCTGGGACAAACACCCAGGACCGGCAGACTTCAACCATTGCAAGGTGCTTACTGCAGCCTAACCAGGCCCCAGCTGCTCCCGGGAGGGGTGGGGCCCACACATTGAAACAGCATAGGAGGGAGGGCAGGAGGAAGTACCAGGTTACAAAAAGCAAGCAAGCAAGCAGGCGAGAGGACCCTCCATCAGACAGGTATCCTCTGCTTGTTGGGACACCAGCACTTCCTCATTCTGTATGATTGTTATAGGATCACGAGAGAAGGCTGGCTAACTGACAGTCAAGAGCTTACATTCAAGATCTACGGATGCCAAGAATGCCTGGGCTCCGAGATTCCTTGCTTCTCTCTCTCTGCAAAATGTCCTCATACCAAGGCCGTCCACACAGGAACAACGGAAAGCATGCAGTGTTTCCCCAGGTTCCACAAAGCACCGGCAATCTCCCAGGACAAAGTCTTCCCGGTTTTCCTAACCCTTGACCTTCACACTCGCCCACCTGCGGCTCTGGAAGAAGTCCCACTTGTACTGCAGTCACACTTCTCAATATCAGATGAAGGTCAAAAAAATAAACCTTTTCTCTCTGGACTTCTGACTGCGAAAGGGCAGGTCCTGTGCCAAGTCCCAGTTCCTTGGACCCTGAGGAGTGCTCTGGGTTTCCACAGCCTTCTCTCTGAGGGTGCCCTGGGGGTCTCCTAACAGAGCTTTGCTGCTACGGATGACCATTTGTGTCTCGGTCGAATGAAAGTATTTCCTAGCCGGACCTCCGGGAACTGGATGAACTGTTTGACTAATGACAACACTCAGCTAGTATTTAAGAAGAGAACAAAACGTTCAGTGTCTAGAATTACATAGGCCATAAACGAGCTAAGCCGCTAATATACAAGCGCGGGTTTCATGGGTTCCAACTCCGATCACACGCCCGAAGCCGGGGAATAGATCCTGGAAGCTCTAGAAGAGATGGTTTCTGACTTACTCTGGAGGTCAGTCTAGCTGGAGAAGTGGCCATTTTTGCTTGTTTGTTCACGCCCAAGCCATGTAATATCCATGGAAGTAGAGGATTTCACCCTGATGTTTTTGTAATTGAACGAGAGATTTGCTAAGAGAGGTCAGCCGCCTCCCTGTATGCATTCAAGTCCTTTAAGCAAAACTTCTCCCACCACCATCACGAATGCCCTTTAGGGTTGACAGTCCCCTCTGTGAAACAGTTCACCATCAAGCCCTTTCTGTTTTTCTGACAATTCCAGTCACAACAAAATAAAGTAAAATTAAAAAATGTTCAAGTCCTTCTTATAAATAGTTACATCCAAGCTCCCCGCAGCTACTGAGGGCTAGCCCTGCCTCGCTGCCCCGAGTCCACGGATCTGGAAGGTGGTGTGCTTTTAGGTTCGGCGTTTGCATGAGAAGTCACGCCCACTCTTCTCCCTTTCAAATACAGCAGCTCCCTCACTCTGTGGTCTCAGGCCATGCCTTCTGAGTTCTCAGCCAGTTTTTCACGATTTTCAAACCCCACACACATATTCTCTCGGTGTATCTGACGTGGTTCCTGGTTCACAACGAAGGATTTTTTGGCATAAAAACGTTTTAAAAAGCAAACTGTCCCAAAATGCATGTGGCTCTGCGTCTGCAACTCCTCGCACCTGCCTGTTCAGCCAGCCAGCGGCCAAGGTCAAGGTCATGGAGTGTTTTGTGGGTTGGTGTGTATTTTTTTTTGTCCCCTTTAAAACAACAAAGGAAAACAAAACAAAAAAAACCCAAACAACCAGAGATGACGGGCAAGGCTCTACACACGTGCTCAGTTTCCGTAGGACATGCTGCTATGGAAACGCAGGGTGCGTAGCCCTGGAGGTGAGACGCCCAGCATGCGAGGTCACGGGCGTCCAGCAGCTACTCCATGGCGTCGTCTGGCCGCAGAGGATGCATGCGCGTTCGCGTTCGGTGGCCAGGGCCCAAGGCCCCCCAACTCTCCACACACCGACCGCCTTTCACAAGAGCACTTCCTCCTCCCCCGCGAGGGCCGGGTCGGGCCCCTGGAGGCTGTCTTCGCTGCCGTGCTTCCTGCTCACCAAACAGAAAACCAAGGTTAAGAGCGGGCAGTGCAGGCACAGCCCGGAACCGGCACCTCCAGGTCCAAAGCTATTTACACAACCTCTTCTTCTAGATTCTCTCCCGCTTTTCTCTCGCTTAGACATGATTTTCTTTTTCTTTCTTTTTTTTTTAACCTAGACCCAAAGGGTGGAGCCTATTCCCAAACAGCTGAGCCCAGTCCCAAATTTCAGCGCCTAGCCCTGAGGAGTCCAGACAAGCCCTAGAGAGCCAACCCTACTCCCAAAGAGCCCTCCACGCTCACCGGGCTGAAGCTAGTCCTGGAAGGGCTAACCTTTCACACAAACACTCCATCCATGCTTTTGTTCCGGCCCTCCAGTCCAGTTTAAGAACCCATTGTGGCCCTCGAGTCAAAAAGTTTGCCCACCCCTGGCCTAGGGACTAAAGGGTCGAATCTAGTCTCCAACAGCCTAGCCCAGTCCCGAAGGGCCTCAGAGACAATTTTCAAAGGAGATTTGTATCCCCTCTGTAAACGGAAAACCAGCGTCCTGTGCCAACAATAGCAAGGAACCATAAGCACGCATGCAAACCTGTGGGCGTGACACCTAAAATCGCGGCACAGACAAGTACTGCCCGGGCCCCACTCCGCAGCGTGTTCATTGAGGGTGTTTGCTATCTGGACCCCCTCCCCTTCGGCTATAGTCTCTTGCAGGGCGGGAACCATGACCCTTGTCTCCTGTCACCAGGTGAACTTCTTGGGGACAGTGAGGACCGCCTGGGCTGGGCCTGGCATACAGCCAGCCTTTGGGAACCAGCTGTCAAAAGAAAACAGCACTGCCCCAGCAAACAGGCCTAAGGGACACCCCTGGCAGAGAGAAGGGCCCCCCTCTTGGCGATGTGAGGAACCAGAGCAGACCACACTGGCGGGAGGAAAGGCGTCCTTGTGTCCCAGAGAGCCAGATCCTGAAGCTCCGCAGCCAGAGCTGCCTGGGGTGACGGACAAGGGTGGAGTGATGGAATTGTGAGGGGAAATCCCTCACAGAGGCCCACACCCTCTGACACCACCAGGCACAGCTGCCCCTTTCTAAGGGAAGCCGCTGCGCTTCTCACACAGGACTCGTGCCCGTTATGTGCCGCTGGCCAGAAGGGGGACGGCCCCCACACATGGGAAGGGAAAAGGTGATGCCTGAACATTCCTAGGAAGAAACCCTCTTTGATTAAAAATCACTCATTGGCTTTATGTTTCTGCCAAACCAGAGGGGTCAAGTCTCCCAGGGATCGGTCCCTCGATGGCCAAGCAGGCCCTCGGTTTCTGCCCTCCTGGCCGGTCTTGCTGCAGATGGGACTTGGGACCAAGCCTCCAATGACTGACTAAGCCTTACAGGTCCAGAGTGCTGGACCTTTTGGACAACCAAAGCATCCCACCTGTGGGCTGGGGGCAAGGGCAGGTAACACCAGGTGTTGCTGGGACTGCAGATGAGAGAAGAAAGGGGCAGTAAAGCGCTTTGGGCCAATCTCAGTCTGTTGAAGTCTTGCAATGTTGACCTCACTGAGAATAAAAGACTAAAAACGACAGCCTTGCACACAGACAGGCAGGCAAACCCTAAAACTGAGGTTGAGAAGAGAAAGGCCACCCCATTATGCTTCTGTAGGAGGGACATATGGGAACAGCCGGTGGGGACTGAGGCAGCCTCGCAGGCTGGTGACACGTGGCTCTGATTGCTAACTGCTGCTTTCCCTGCCCCAGAGAAGCAAAAATAATCCCCCGCAAACCCTAACCGGTTTGGCTCAGTGGATAGAGCGTCGGCCTATGGACTGAAGGGTCCCAGGTTCGATTCGGGTCAAGGGCATGTACCTGGGTTGCAGGCACATCCCCAGTAGGGAGTGTGCAGGAGGCAGCTGATCGATGCTTCTCTCTCATCGATGTTTCTAACTCTCTATCCCACTCCCTTCCTCTCTGTGAAAAATCAATAAAATATATATATTTTTAAAAAATCCCCAAACAAGCATTCCTCCTACATTACCATATAAGCCCTGACTTCTAGGTATGGGTGGCCAATAAATTTCATCTCAGCCAATTCCTAACAAGAGAAAGCTGACACTTGTGCAAGTTCATCGCAGCGTCACTCATTCGTGATAGCCAAACAGCGCTCATCCCCAGAGGAATAGATAAATATAATGTGGTCTCTCCATACAATGGAATCTCTCTCAGCCGTAGAAAGGAACGAAGCACTGACACCACAGATGAGCCGTGAAAACACGATGCTGAGTGCGAAAGTCAGACACAAAAGGCTACATACTGTGTGATTCCATTTACATAAACAGCCGGAATAGGCAAATCCACAGAAGCTAAAAGTAGACTAGTGGTTGCTGGGGAACGGAGGAGTTGGGCGGCTACACAACTCTGTGAACACGCTAAACACCACTGGGCCCTGGCTGGGTAGCTCAGTTGGTTGGAGCATCGTCCCGATATGCCAAGGTTGAGGGCTCATTCCCTGGTCAGGGCGCATACAAGGATAAACAATGAATGTGTAAATAAGAGGAACAATACATCGGTCTCTCTCTCTCTCTCTCTCTCTCTCTCTCTCTCTCAAATCATAAGTTAAAAAAAATTTAGATAGATACAGATATACACACACACACATATATATATACACATATATATTTTTAAATTAAACAGTAAAAATTAAAAACCACTGAAATAGAATATACACTCTAAATGGGTGAATTGTGTGGTATGTGAATTATATGTCAATAAAGCTGCATTTAAATCGCAGAAATGGCTGCCTAGAGCTCCCAGCTGAGGCTGAGGTGGTGGGTCAGGTTCGGTGGGAAGAGCTGTTACCCTCCCAGGCACTGGGGATTGAGTGGCGGAAAAGGTGCAGTTTGTCATGTCAGTCTTACAGGGACCGACATCCTCACCTGTCCTAGGAGGTGCTAACACCCGGGTTTACGTTTGGAAGAGGGATGACCACACCCTCCCCGGGGGCAGAGGATCTTACACAACTTGGCAGCAGGCGGGAAAGGGGACTTACTGTCTAGGTCTTAACCATCAGAGAAAGGGGGGATGCTGGAGAGGCAGCAGGCAGAGCCACAGATACAGCATGCCTGGGCAACCCAGAGCAGGGGCAGCCCCGGTGCCACTGACAGGTCCTGAGCATAGGTGGGTGCCCAGCTGGGTCGTGGGACCTGAGTGGACTCATGGGCATTCCGGGTGGAGCGCCATGCACCTGCAGCCCCAGCTCACATGCACGCCTGCCGTCGGGTCCAAGCCCCTGGTGCCCTGCTTTTCAGTCCAGAGGCCCAAGGTGAGCCTGGGCGCAGCAGGAAGGCCCGTCCGCTGCCCACCAGGGTGGGGGTGCCCGTGCTCTGCAGCTGCCCCCGCCCCCAGGCCCCGGCAGAGGCTACTGTGCAGGCAGGCAGGCTTTACCTTGGACTCAGACAGGGGCTCCCATTCCCTGGTTGGTTTTTTGCTGGAATCGCCAGAGGGGAGGGAAAAGGGAAGTGAGAAGGGACAGTTGGGATCCATGGGATGCCCGTCCCCCACCCCTGGGACACTCAGACCCCAAATCCCGCTTGGCAGAGCTGTTGCCAGGGTGATTATGAGGACACTGCTCTGCTGAGACACGTGGGGCCCCTCATGGGGGACACGGGCTTGCTCACCCAGCACAGAGCTGAATGCCCCATCAAGCACGCCTGCTTCTGGGCCACAAAAGTGCTTTCTGATTGTCAAGAGCTCCCCAGTTAAAGTGAAACTCCCCTGAGAAAGGTAAAACTTCTGGGTGGGTACGCTGTGAGCACAAGGCGGCCGGCTGAGCCAGGGTGGGCGAGACCACAGCCAGCAGCTGCTCTGGCCTCCCCAGTGTGCCCGGGTCTGAGTCTTTCCAGCTGGAACCGCTCCAGGGATGGGCCCGGGCAGAGTGGGCTGCACAGGGCTACGCTGCACTTGGCCCCAGCTACCCACCCCAGGAAGGCAGGTGGACACTCACCTGAGCAGGTTTCCGGGCGCCGACAGCGAGCGTTCCTCCCGCCGGCTGCAGTCAAACGGGTTCCCGAAGGAGCGTTTTCGAATCATGGTCTTCACCAGGATCTGAAGGGGAGAAGAGGAGGCTCAGCCACCGGGAGGTGGGAGTCCAGGTAACATCCTCCCTCATGCCGACTCCCTCATCCTTCCTCCCCCAGCTGCTGGGGCTTGTGGCCTTTGGGAGACACTGGGCAGCACCTGGGATATCGCAGCCAAAGCCATCACCGATTCTGATTGGTCCACTCCCAACACCTCCCATGGCTCCCTGGCTGCCAACAAGAGAAGGTCCCAACTCCTTGGTCTGATGTTCAAGTCAGGTCACAATCGAGTCTTGGCCTGCCCACCCCCCGGGACCCTGTGCTCCAGGAGAGCTGGCCTGCACCTGGTCCTGTGTCTCACCTGAGCCATCGTGGGTGTGCCCTCCTGGCTCATTGACCTGCCTCTGCATTCGGTGAAAGCCTTCTATGACCACACCCACAAAACCCCAACTATTGCTCTCCAGGTAAAAGGGAGCTATACTTTTTAAAAATTAAAATATAATTCCCACAGTATCAGACTCGCTATTTTATAGGGTACAATTCCATGGTTTTAAGTAGATTCGTTTCGGCACTCTATAATTTCAGAACATGTCCATCACCCCACAAAGACACCCTGTCCCCATTAGCAGTCAGTCCCCACCTCCCCGGCCTCCCGGGCCCTGGCACACACCAATCTGCTCTCTGAATGTCGCTCTTCTGGACATTTCATGTGAAAGGAACAACACAGCATGTGACCTTTTGTGTCTAGTTTCTTTCACTCGGCATAATGTTTTTGAGGTTTATAATAAGCTGTATCAGTATTCCATTCCTTTGCATGGATATAAATTTTATTAATTCATCGATTGGTGGACATTTCGGCTGTTTCTCCTTTTGGGCTATTATGAATAATGCTGCTATGAACACGTGTCCAAGTTTTTGTGTGGGCATGTTTTCCACACAAAATGTTTTCATTTCTCTTGGGTGTGTACCCAGGAATGAAATTCTTAGATTACATGGTAACTATGTTTAATGTTTTGAGGAACTGCCAGACTGTTTTCTGCAGTGACTGTGCCATTGTATATCCCCACCAGCAACATGCAAGGATGCCATTGTCTCAGGGGATTGCGTTTTAGGCAAGGAGACACGCCTGCCCAAGGGTTAAGCACGAAAAGAAAAGATCCGCAAAGTCCACTCTCCGCATGGGATCTTTCCAAGGCCCACCCTGATCATGCTGCTCCCGATTCAAATCCTGCAGGGGCTTCCCACACATCTCAGCGCACAGCCGATCCTCCCAGGGGGCCTTCTCAACCCATCACCTGGCCCACGTCCCCCCTTAGGGACACACCTCGAGGCCCCTCAGTTACACAGTACATCTAGTTGTTGACTGTGTGCCCCTACAGGATGGCAGGTGCCCTGTCGGTTTTATCCATCATGGTACCCCTGCTCCCAGCACAGGCCTGAGAAACCACTCAAGTGCTTCCTGAATAGTCAGGGACTAGTTCAGACTCGGGGGCAGACACCTTCTCCCAAGAACATCCCAAGCCTGGAACAGAATCACCCACGGTGGGCACCGGGATCTGACGCCAGCCGCCTGCCCCACTATGGGCACAGGACGTGGGTGCAGTGGGTGGATGAGAAAGAGTGAGTGGGTGTGGGTGAGTTTTTAACAGTGAAGGTCATGCAGAGGCTCCAGGTGGGGGAGGAGGAGGAGGATGTGAATGGGGCTCAGGATTTGGAAGAAGGAGAGAGAAAGTGTGTGAGGAAGCAGGGGGGAGAGGTGCAAAGCTGGAGAGAAGGAGCCAGCATTTGGGCTCCTACAGGGGCAGTCACTCGAGGCCCCTCCCGGAGCCCAGGGCCCTGCCTGTCTACCGGGGCCGGTGCTGGACAAACGCAGCCCAGGGCTTTGGAGGTGGCCATGGCGGGTGGCCAGCTGGACTCTCACAGGACTGCTGCCTGGATCCGGGTCCCTGAGGGTCCTGGTCTCCCACCTGGAGCCAGGCACCCTGATGGGTAGGGGATTGGCAAGTGGGTGACTCCCAGAGTCTCCGGGGTTAAGCCTGAGGGACTCCACATTCTGGCTCCTTCTTCCTGGGTTAGGATGCAAGTGTGAGGCCATAAAAGGGGCTGGTGACTCGGGATCAAAGCCCCACCCTCCTGAGTTGGGAAGGATTTTCTGCAGCATGTGAAGTGGCAGCCCCTCTGCTCGCCCGGGAGCTATGCACATGGCAGACGTGAGATGAGTTAAGCCGTTCGCTCTGGAGACTGGAGATGCACCGGGTGAGAATCTCGCTCATAGACCTCGGCTCCAGCTCCATCCCTGGCACCCGCCCTGGTCCTTCTCCTGTTCCCGCCATGCTCTGAAAGCAGGAATTCCGGGAGGGGCAGTGGGATCCTGGGAGAGGGGCTACCCCTCTACGGTACATGGGGACCTGGCTACAGATAGAACTGAGGCCAGAAGATATGGGCACCTGTCCTGATGTGCGCCCAAGGCCCGAGGCTGGTGACAGTGGGTCTGGGGCAGAGCCAGCCACCCCAACCTTCAGGCCCAGCGTCTGCTCCTCAGACGCCTGCCTGCATCTCAGCCGGTCTTGGCAGGGTCCACCTCCGGCCCCAGTGGCTCCGTCCCTGCTCTCGGTCAGTGGTTCGTCCGCCTTACCACGGTCGCCAGGCTGGGAATGTGTTTGACTGAATTCTCGACCTCCTCTTCGGTCACCTCGACCAGCGTGCAGTTCTCGTCCTCCGATGGCAACGGCTCCGCCCCATGCCTCGTGACCCAGGGGTGCAGCTTCAACGAATGACAGGAGGGGTGAGGGCTGGCTCCCAGAGGCAGGACAGCGGAGCCAGGGAAGGGATGCACGAGGGGAGAGGCAGTGGCCGGAGGCCAGACATGCAAGAAAGCAGATAAGCCAAGCAGAGGGTGGCAGGGAGCAAGATGGTGGGAAACGTGGAAGAGACGAGGGACAGAGAATGGGAGGGAGCTACGAGGTGGGATGTGCACGGGCCGGATTCTCCATCTGGCCCCAGGTCTTGGCAGAAGTGATTACAATTTGGCATCTGCCACCTGCCGTTGCCCGAGGAGCACCCATCACTCCTCAGCATCTCTTCCTGATGCCTGGAAAGCTCAGCTCAGAGCAGGCAGCATCCTCCCCATTTTACAGAAGGGCAAACAGAGGCTCGCGGAGGCACAATGACCACAGACCAGCTGGAAGGGCACAATACGGAGAGGACCCAGGCAGGGGTCTGGCCCCCCACCACACACCCCTAGGGTCTAAGCCCTCATCGATAACTTTTGGGGCTTCCCTCTCTTCAAATGCTAGTTAGCTAGGTGGGTAGGAGTTCCCGAAGCAAATGTGTAGATTTCCTAACGAGCCAGATGTGTGCGTGTGGCACTGGCTGGGTGTTGGGTGTAAGTGTGTGTGTGTGTGGCGGGGGTGGGGGGGTGTCGTCTCTCCTAACAGTGCTTTCTGGAACAGGGTGGAATTCAGCAGGCCAGGGTGGAGAGTGGGGTCAAACTGTTCACTAACTTCCTCCCACCCTCACTGCAATATCTCACAAAAGGATGGGCAAGGTCAAGGCAAGGGCCCAGGCCTTTGGCAGCCAGGGTGTGCAGCACAAAGAGGCCCCGGTCGGTCGGGTCCGGGGAGGGTGGATGCCATCAGCCGAAGCCAATCGGAGTGCTAGCTGCTCAGCTGGCAGCAGATCCCACTTACACAATCACAGCAACACAAGCCCCAGATCCTCCTCCTGCCCCCGCCTCCGGCGCATGGGAGGGCAGCGGTGCCAAGGAGGGCATGACGCTGTGGATGTGGGGCGGGGGGCCTGGCCAAGGCGGGGTCGAGCCAAACAATTCCAAGCAGCGGACGACGCAGGCCAAGCTGCTGGCACGCACTCCACAGGGCAGCAGTGGCCCCCAGGTACCTTGATCTCTGGCACCATGATCCTCGACTCGGGGTTCTTATCCAACATGCGGGTGATGAGGTCCTTCAAGTCCTCCGCTATGTCGGGCCTGTGGGCGAGAGACACGTCAGAAGGCTGAGAGTCAGATACGCAGGACCACTCAGGGCTCAGAGCAGGAGGTGACTCAGGACAGCCGGGCGATACTCACTGGTCCGGAAATTCCAGGGCCTGACTCTTGATCTTACTGTGTAAACACATGATCCGCTCGTCCATGAATGGGCACTGCGAAGAGAGGTCGGAGCGGCCGTCAATGGCTGGCACACCTGTCCTTGTAAAGGCCGCCCTGTGCTGGCCACTCCACATGGGTCACAACAGAGAAATAAGTAGCCCAGTGGCCTGATCTAGGAAAGGACAGTTCCCCACACACCTACTAGGTGAACAATAATAATTCCAAGAACAATTCAGAAGTCGTCACAGTAACAGCAGATTGTCAAGGGCTTAGTCAGGGCCAGTAGCAAGATTCTTTATGGTAGAATCCAGGGGCAGCTGCGTGGGTGTTTACTGTACAATTCTTTCAACTTTTCTATGTGACTGAAACTTTCTGATCAAATGTTGGGGTAAGGGGAGGAGATTACGATCCCCTTTATGTCCTCACAGGAACAGTTTCTTAAGTTTTCCTCAACAGGAGCACAAACTCACGAAGCGGGAAAATCCATGCTTTTACGGCTCACATAGTCAATCCGAACTTCAGAGTTAAAAATAGAAGCCCCTGCCCTAACCGGTTTGGCTCAGTGGATAGAGCGTCAGCCTGCGGACTGAAGGATCCCAGGTTCGATTCCAGTCAAGGGCATATACCTTGGTTGCGGGCACATCCCCAGTAGGGAGTGTACAGGAGGCAGCTGATTGATGTTTCTCTCTCATCGATGTTTCTAACTCTCTATCCCTCTCCTTTCCTCTCTGTAAAAAATCCATAAAATATATTTGAAAAAAAAAATAGAAGCCCCTAGCCCTGGCTGGTGTGGCTCAGTTGGTTGGGCGCTGTCCTGTGCACCAAAAGGTTGCCGGTTTGGCTGCCAGTTCGATTCCAAGTCAAGGCATGTGCTCAGGGTGCAGGCCTGATCCCTGGTCAGGGTGTGTCAGGAGGCAGCTGATCGATGTTTCTCTCTCCCCCTCTCCTTTCCTTTCTCTCTAAAAATCAATAAAAACATATTTTTAAAAAATAGAAGCCCCTAAATGTCAATACTATAAAAAAAGAACAAAATAAAAAAAGGAAGAAAAGAAAAAACAGTATTCCCTAAATTAAAAATGCCAAATGGACTTTAACTTCCACTCCAATTCTATGCCTCCAACAAACAGCTTCTAGGAACACTGTTGAGAACATCAAAGCGGTATCGGGCTCGGGAGAAAAAGTGCAGTCACTGATCAGTGGGGAGAGTACAGCATTTTCTGTCCTTGCCCTAAATCCATCAATTATTTACAACCTCTAAGAGCCTCTGCCAATCCGTCTGTTTTAGAAGCTCATGTTTTCAGATATGACTATCATGTACTAGATCATGTACATTTGGGAAGGCATCCTTTTTCATATTCAGATCTAACTGTGGAAATAAAAACCAGCCACACTCAGGAGGTAGGACACCCCCACCCCGTTACCTGGCCAAACACAAAGCAGTAGAGTGTCACACCCATGGCCCACACATCCAAGGCCTGCAAGAAAAAAGGAGCTGCGTGTGAGGGTACAACGGTGGTCAAGCGCACCTACCACTCTGCCTGTCCAGCCTCAACTCCTCCAGCTTTCCTTCAGGGAACCACCTCTCCTGGACTCAGTCCATGGAGGTGAGGTGGGGTTGATCCTGCCCCTCTGGGTAGGCACATGACCCAGGACTGACCAATGAGAGCACCACTTCCCCCAGCCAATGACTGGGTCAAGGATGGGCACATGACCCAGGACTGACCAATGAGAACACCACTTCCCTCAGCCAGTGACTGGGTCAAGGATGGGCACATGACCCAGGACTGACCAATGAGAGCACCACTTGCCCCAGCCAGTGACTGGGTCAAGGATGGGCACATGACCCATGCTGGGCCAATCAGAGCCAATCCCAGGATTTTTGCTCCAGCTCTTCAGAAGACCAACAGTCTTTCTACTGAGGTTGGTAAACGGATAGCAAGTAGTCTGGGGCTGCTGGTGGAACAACCCACCTGGGGGGGAAACCAATTCCGGAAAACAGACCTAAGATGGAGAGATGGATCCTGATTTGAATCTCTGTATCTAACCACCTCCCGAAGCCAAATGCACCCCACTCATCTACGTGATTTAACAGATTCACTGTTTCAGCCACAATGAGTTGGATTTCTTGCCACTTATAACCGAGAGGACCCGAATACAGGCAGAACTCAGCATCTCTGGCAGGTCCGAACCTACCTTCCCAGAGAAGATTTTCCGGGTCTCGGAGAGAGACTCGGGGGCCATGAAGGCAGGTGTGCCCACAGTGTTAGAGAGGAGCGCATCGCTGCCCTTGAACTCGTTGCTCACACCGAAGTCCGCAATCTTAATGTGCCCATCTTCTCCGACCAAGAGGTTGGAAGGTTTGATGTCCCGGTGGATGATCTTCTGGTAGTGTACTGGAAGTGGGTAGACACCAGATGGGAGAGAGGGGGCAAGGAAACCACATGAGGAGTGCCACGTGGCCCACACAGCCCAGAGATGGAGACAGGCTGGACCCCTCTGCTCTCCCACAGCTCCATCCCCTCCTGTCCTCCCCCTCTCACAGCACTGAAAAGAGGGGCTCCAATGATGTTCCCCCGTCCTCAAAAAGGAGGAGGGAAACACCAACTGCCCGTAGCAATTAGGAACAAAGTCACCCAGTGACAGAGCATGGAGTTTTTGTGGAGCTTGGCTCCCAGCTTCAAGAATCACCATTTGTGACAGCTGAATGAATATATTTTCTTTGTGGAGCTTGGCTCCCAGCTTCAAGAATCACGATTTGTGGCAGCTGAATGAATATATTTTCATTAACTCGACGGTCACAAATCTACACTCAACCTGCTCACTAAACCAGCAATGACGAGAGCAGGTCAAACTGAAGTGTGAAGCATGAAGCAAGACTGGGGACTTGGCTAACTGCTCCTGCCTGGACGTCAGCCCACGGGGGAGGCCAATCCTATAGTCTGGAAGACCCAGCTGCATGTCTGTGGTGGGGGTGAGGAGGAGGAGGAGGAGGATAGCAAGACTGGGGACTTGGCTAACTGCTCCTGCCCGGATGTCAGCCCACAGGGGAGGCCAATCCTATAGTCTGGAAGACCCAACTGCATTTCTGTGGTGGGGGTGAGGATGATGAGGATGATGATGATGATGATGATGATGACGACGATGATGACATGGGGATAGGAGGAGCAGCTTCCTATGTTGAATGTCCAGTCTGGGGCCTAGCCCTGTGTTAACTACTTCCCGCTTACACAGTCCTAATGTGACAGGCATGGGTAAGAGTCAAAATGTTTAACAACCAGAATCAGAAAACACCGGCCAATCAGAACTACTGATGTGCACTGGCTGCTGGCAGCCCTGATGAGAGACACTTTATTCCCATTTTACAGATGAGAAAACAAAGGTCCCAGGAGATAAACTGGATTCCCCTCTCAGGGTTGTGGAGCATAAGGGACAATAGAAGTAGAGCCCCTACCAGGACACTCTTGCCATTGCTCCTGATTTTCCTGGGTGGCAGGAATAGACTTTCTGCTGCCAGCAGCATGGCCACTGGCGGGTTCTCTGCAGCTTCCCCTGGCTCTGCACCTCAGACAATTCTGTTTCCCGCCCACCTCCTTGAGCTCTAGGAGGAAAATAAGAAACTCCCCATTTCCTGCCCACCCCTGGGAGAGGCTCCTCTCACAGGCCCCACTTACAGTACTCAATGCCTTTGATCAGATCCTGGAAGTAGAAACGGGCCTGGTCTTCAGAGAGCGGTTTGAGGGTGGGCACTTCCATCACAGGCCTGAAAGGTCGACACACGCATGAGAAGCAGAACCGACACCAGCCTTTGCTTTCTCACATTGCAGAGCCCAGCATCCCCTCGCTTCGCTTCACAAGCCCCAGAAGCTTTGGGCAGCAGCCCGGCCAGGGCTGGGGACACTCACCCTTGGTTGACCAGTTCAAACACTGCAGGGAAGAGAAGGGGGAAATGGTTACATTGGAAACTGGAAATCCATCTTCCTCGCCATCATCCTCTCCTCCCAACCACCCCTAAAAACACCAAGAAGCACAGAAACTAGCAGTGGGATTGGAGCGAGAAACAGCCCACTAAACCAAGCCGCTCTATGTCCTCCTTGTCTATGTTCCCATCAGGAGGCTAAGGGTCAGAGATTTCTGATGTCCTAGGACAGTGATGGCGAACCTATGACACGCGTGTCAGAGGTGACACGCGAACTCATTTTTTTGGTTGATTTTTCTTTGTTAAATGGCATTTGAATATATAAATATCAAAAATATAAGTCTTTGTTTTACTATGGTTGCAAATATCAAAACATTTCTATATGTGACACGGCACCAGAGTTAAGTTAGGGTTTTTCAAAACGCTGACACGCTGAGCTCAAAAGGTTCGCCATCACTGTCCCCGGACCCCAAACTGGCTGTACGTCTACCCCTCAAATACCCAGAGAAAACAAAGCAGGGAGACAGGAGACAGGCGGGGTCCCAGGGATATGACTGATGCTAAACTCTGTCCGTCTAAAGGGACACAACCCCCCAATGTCGATTTACTTAAGCCCAAAGAATAGCCCCAGGGGTCTTAAAAACCCTAGGACTGTTTCGATTCAAGAAAGAAACTAGCATGAACAGGTTTCAACAGCCCCTCCCCAGTTCTCCAAGCTGCTGGGCTGTGTCAGGTTATAGACCAAGAACAGTTGGTAAAATTGCTCCAACTCAGCACTCTGGGCAGATGGCCCTCGGACCCTTCCTGACTCTCGAGTCAAACCAAGACTTCGAGCTACCTAACAGAGCCCTTCTGAACTCACATTCACACAGGACATGCATGCACAGGTTTCACACCGTGTCAATTTCTTCCCAGCCCAGGGTATATGGAAACTGCCCCTGGCAACTACTGATCTGCATTGTCTCTCCGGATTTGCCTATTCTGGACATTTCCAACATAGGGAATCCTACAACAGTGACTCTTTGCACCTGGCTTTTTCACTCAGCACAAAGTTTTCATCCATGTTGTAGCATTGTTCAATGTTGTAGCATTTACCACTTTTCGTGGCTGCATACTGTTCCACGTGCGGACAGATCACATTGTGTTTATCCAGTCATCAGTTGATGGACATTTGGGCTGCTTCTACTCTTTGGCTGGTGTGAATAATGCTGCTGTGAACGTTCGTGTACAAGTATTTATATGGATCGCTACTTTCAGTTCTTTTGAGTATGTACCCTGGAGTGGAATTACTGAGTGACGTGGTATAATCATTTTAATTTTGTTCTGCTTGGACAAACAGAACTGGGAATGCGAAGCTATACTTTACGAAGTGAAAACATCGCATAGCGAGTTTCAAAATCAAGTAGGGGTGGCATTGTCTGTTGTTCTAGAATCATCCTACCCACATCGGAGTCAATGTATGGAAGAAACCAAAAAGTTCTTCAAAGCTCTCCAAGGGCTGAGGTGAAAGGACAAAAGCCTCAGACAAAAGCAAGGCTTAAAAGTTCGACCCAGAAAAGGAACTTGCCTCCCCCAGGGCCCCTTCCTATCTTTTCAGTTCATCAACCAGCATCGAGCAAAACAGAGATCGGGCAGCTCCGCCCTGGCTTCAGACTGTGGCTAAAAGCCGAGGCAGCAGCACTGAAGATAAAGCCACAGAGAGGAGCGCGGGTGCCCCAGCTCTGGCCTTGCCTGCCTCGGTTATATAAGTCTCAACTCTCAAGAACTGCCTCATGAATTTCTGCGCCTCCCTCCCTCCCACCCAAGCACCATAAATCAGCTGGCATGGGGGAAGCTGGCCTGCTGAAACAGGTCTATTTTCAGTGGCTCACAGTTGAACCACGCTTGCGGCTGAGCGGTGGGTGGGACGTTTCTAACCTCTAGAAATGCTGGTCATGTCTTCCACCCTTTGGGGTCTGGCCTGCAGCTGCAGGACCCTTGCTGATACCTCCCTACGGGCCTCACGGGTCATCCTGGAAAGATTTCCAAAACCACTGGAATCAAATACCAAAGGTCAGCCTGGCTCCTTGTCACACCACCACCTTAACAAGTGAAAAACACCCGGCTGGTGTGGCTCAATGGTAGAGCATCAACCCAGGAACCAGGAGCTCAGGGTTCCATTCCCGGTCGGGGCACACGCCCAGCTGTGAGCTCGATGGCCAGGTTGCAGGCTCGATCCCCAATGTGGGGCGTGCAGGAGGTAGCCGG